TTTCTCCTTGGATGCTAGGATTTTGAAGCTCCTTCTTATATATTTTGGGCATTTGGCCAGAAGGGACTGGTCCTTGTAAAAGGACATCATGCTTGCAAGGGTGGAGGGATAGTGCAGGAGAGGAATACTCTGGATGAGATGGATTGATAAAGTAACTGGGGCAATGGGGGTTGGTGTGTCAGAATTAGTGAGACTGGCTCAAGACAAGGCAGGGTTCAGAGATGCTGTACGTAGGGTCGCTATGGGTCACAGGCAACTCAATGGCACATAACAACAACAACAACATAGGAGTTATATGAAATACAGTGTGAATGAAGGAATGTGTGAAACACAATGTATATGAAATTAAACACAATGCATACAAATTTTGTATGCAAACGAATAGAAAATTAAAAAACAAAAAAAAACCACCCCAAATTTAAGCTCTTTCCGATGACGTCAGAACTCACTTATAGCAGACTCATCAGTGGGTTTTCTGTGATTGTAAATTGCAGAGGAGGAGATTGCCCATCATAAGCAGGTTCTGAGGGATTATTCTTCTCAATGAAAAGATTCTAAACTCAAACTCATTGCCATAGAGTGGGAGCCAACTTCTAGCTGACTCTGTATTGTGCTTCCTAGGCTGTAAATCATGCACGAGATTGCCCTTCCTTCTCCCTGGAGCCACTATTGGGTTCAAGCTGGCCAGACAGTTGCAGCCTTTAGGGTGGTAATGCAGCTCCCTACTGACTTGCCACCAGAACTCTCTATGAAAAGAATATAGATTGCTCATTTTAAAACTGTGGAAACTGAGGTGTAATCGCCTATAAGGAGTAAGTCCAAGGCAGTCAGGTTATTGCATATGTTATTAAAAGAATAGAATATTTGAAAAAAGTATAGAGTGCTTGTTTAGCTTTTTCTAATTCCACACTAAATTCAAACTTACACCACTCTGTTTTGTTGCATCAAATATTCCTTCTCCTCCTGCTCCTCTTCATCGCCATCTGGTAGAAACCTACTCATAGTTGAACTTCCGTTGGGTCTTTGAGACTATAAGTAGCTCTGTAGATGATGGCCCATCTTTGTCCTGTGGATTAGAATTGTCAGAGAAATATGGTGTTTGGGTTAGCAGTTCAAATCCCCAAGTACTATGTCACCAGAGCACCTTTAGTTATTTTAATGGAGATTTTCACTTCTTTGCTCTGTAGCTCTTGAACAGGCATCATCATTGGACTAGTTTCTTGAGGAAGGACAGGTTATTGGGTAATTAATCCTGTGAAGGTAAAAATTGTAACATGTTGAATGTGATTTTTTTTTTTTTACTTCAGTTATTGGAAAGACTTCCTAATATGTAAAATGACGGTATCAATAAGATCTCTTTCCAATATTACTGAATTTAATTTAAAAGTTGTGCTGCAAACTCAAAAGATGGTACCTCTCAGGAAGCTAGAATTTACCAGACATTCCAGGAGAAAAAGAAGGCCAATCTTCTCTTGAGAGATTTACAGCCTCCAAAAACAACTGATGGGTCAGCTGAGTCAGTTCTGACTCTACGACAATGCATTTTTTAATTTAATGTTTTAAAAATTGCTCTGGACTCGCTATCAGTGTCCTGGATTCTTTACAGCTTTGCAAATAAAAGCTGGTTGGCTGAAGGCAAAGGTGGATTTTTCTGGGCAGTTTTAAGATAGAGGCTCATTTATTTTTCTCTTATGCTGTTCAAATTTTACCACTTACTATTTTGTCTTTCTTTCTCTTATTTCTTTCCTGTACCGCACTACTTTGTCTTTCAACTGAAAGTAACTTCTCTGTTCCATCAACACTTTTATGGGGTGCTATGTGTACACA